CCCCAAAATCCCCATTTTTCACCCTAAAACCGCCCGATTTTTTCCTCCCAGTCCAAACCAGTGCCCTCCCAGTATAACCCAGTATAACCCAGTATAAACCAGTCACTCCCAGTTCCTTTCCCACCCCAAAATCCCCATTTTTCACCCTAAAAACCCCATTTTTTTTTCCCCCAACCCCTCCCAGTGCCCTCCCAGTATAACCCAGTACAACCCAGTATAAACCAGTGGCTCACGTTGATGCAGAAGAGCGTGGTCACGCCCTCCCAGTCCATCCCAGTCCATCCCAGTCCATCCCAGTGCCGTTTCCAACCCCAAAATCCCCATTTTTCACCCTAAAACCGCCGGATTTTTTCCTCCCAGTCCCTCCCAGTATAAACCAGTATAACCCAGTGGCTCACATTGATGCAGAAGAGCGTGGTCACGCCCTCCCAGTCCATCCCAGTATAAACCAGTCCCTCCCAGTGCCGTTTCCACCCCCAAAATCCCCATTTTTCACCCTAAAAACCCCAGGTTTTTTCCTCCCAGTATAAACCAGTAAAAGCCAGTCACTCCCAGTCCCCTTTTGACTCCCAAAATCCCCACTGTTCCCTAAAAAATCCCCATTTTTCCCCCCAAAATCCCCATTTTTCACCCTAAAACCGCCGGGTCTTTTCCTCCCAGTCCCTCCCAGTATAAACCAGTATAACCCAGTATAAACTAGTCACTCCCAGTTCCTTTCCCACCCCAAAAATCCCCATTTTTCCCTAAAAAATCCCCATTTTTCACCCTAAAAACCCCGGGTTTTTTTCCCCCCAACCCCTCCCAGTGCCCTCCCAGTATAAACCAGTATAACCCAGTATAAACCAGTGGCTCACGTTGATGCAGAAGAGCGTGGTCATGCGGTGCAGGTAATTGGGGTCGGCGGCCATGGCCAGAACTTTGGGGACGATGGTGCCCTGGGCCCACGTGTGGCCAAAACGCTCCACCAGTTTGCGCAGGTTACTGGTGGCGGCCTCCCGGATGGCGTAAACTGGGACAGAAACCAGTACAAACCAGTATGAACCAGTATGAACCAGCATGAGCCAGTATGAACCAGTACAAACCAGTATGAACCAGTATGAACCAGTATAACCCAGTATAAACCCATAAAAACCCATAAAACCAGTATAAACCAGTATAAACCAGTTTGCGCAGGTTACTGGTGGCGGCCTCCCGGATGGCGTAAACTGGGAGAGAAACCAGTACAAACCAGTATGAACCAGTCTGAACCAGTATGAACCAGTATAACCCCATAAAACCCCATAAAACCCCATAAAAACCCATTAAACCAGTATAAACCAGTATAAACCAGTTTGCGCA